TGCCCCATCTGGTTCAGCAGGGGTCCAATGTTGCCCTTGCTTTTCCTCTGGCTCCCCACATATCTGAAAAAGGACTTTTTATTGTCCTTGATGCTCAAAGCTAGTTGGAGTTCAGTTGCAGCCTTGGCTTTCCTGGTTTGCTCTCTGCAGGACCAGACCAGTGCAGAATAATCCTCCTTGGAGGTGAATCCCATCCTCCATCCTTTGTAGGCCTTTCTTTTTAGCCTCAGGAGTTCTGCTAGATCCCTGGAGAGCCGGGGGGCTGCTGTGCCCTCTTGCTGCTTTTCCTCCGAGATGGAATCGAATTAGCTTGTGCATTGAAGATTGCTCCCTTGAGGAGCAACCACCCTTCTTGAACTCCCCTCTCCCTGCGGTCGTGGTTCCTTAGGACCTCACTGACAAGCCTCCCGAGCTTGTCAAAGTCAGCTTTCCTGAAGGACTTCCATGTTGCTGACTGACTTGCCAGCTTTACAGGGGATGGTGAAGGTGATCAGCTCGTGGTCGCTGTCACCCAGCTTCCCATCGATCACTAGGTCGCTGATTAGGTCATCCCCAGTAGCCAGTACCAGGTCAAGCAGCGCTTTACTTCTTGTTGGCCCATAGACTTCTTGAGTCAGGTAGAGGTCGTCCATGCACAATAGGAAGCTTTTCCTTACTTTTAATGAACTCTTTGCTATTTTGACTTACTTTTAATGAACTAATTGTTATTTTGGTTTTGGTGACTAGTTGTATACTTTCCATAATGTTCACAAACTTAATTAAAAATGGCTTCATATGTTACAATTATTGTAATTAATTTTTACTACAGGAGAAAAATATAGTTATAAGAGTCATACCTTTCTTAAACCTTTGAGTTCGTATAATCCAAAGAAATCTTAGTTGTCATAGCTTGCTTTTGAAGAAATGTTGGAGGTAGAGGGGGGGAGAGGCTAGGGGAAGGCTTGCTTCATAGATTTTTTTTTCTTTATTGGTTTCAGTCCTTCACATAATTCCTGAATTGACTGTAGTTTTCATTACATTGGTTTTTTTCATTTTGGCTGTGCTTTGATATTTTCAGAAATTCTGAACTTAAGTTTTAGTTGACACCAGTAGGAACTTTGAATGCTTAGCACTGCTTCCGCAGTGTTCTGGACTTCAGGGCTAGGGTTGGGCAGCACCCTTGTTACCAAAATTTTGGTTCTTCTGAAGTGATAATTCAGTAAGGTGGTTGTTGTGGGAGGGTGTCTGACAGATCATGGGAATGTTCATGAGTAAGTAAGCCCCAAAGGCTGGAAAAACAAAGTAAGAAAGCTTTCTATGCTCAATTTGGGAAGCAGGTGAGGACTTATATGTTTAGAGGCCATTCTGTGATTAGCCGTTTGGGGAAGGATTTTTGCAGTTTCAATGTCAACAGTAAAAAAAAAAAAAAAAAAAAAAAAAAAAAA